TGTGATACATTCATTGACAGGATAACGCATGATCAAGGGCACTGTCTGCAACGAGATATCGCGAAAGCCCAGTCAATTCCCCCGACACGCTCCAAATATCAACTCCTTCCTGCGCGGACTTCCACATATCGAAACAGTGTAATTCCTTACCTAGCTCGTTTACTAGTAAATCGTCAGCATATCCTCACCCACTTCAGGGAAAAACTCTTGGCCTAATTTTTATCTCATTTATTAAAGTGCAGAATTTCTCATACTGTATTTTTTGGTTACAATTATTTTATCTATCCACCGTAAATTCGTAAACTGCTGAAAATTCACCTTTTGGATGCATAAAGCTTTTCTTGACTTGACTGACTTATTTGCATTGGATCATAAGATCAGGTCGCGACCATTCTACCATCCTACATCGTCACCGTGAGGAGAGTATCACCAATTTGCCCCCGAAAGGCAGACTGTTTGATCTAGAGCATGCTGACATTATTGTAGTGCTAAGTGATGACCCGAGTGTGTTGCAAGCGTTTTTGGATAGTTTGAGTGAAAGTGTAAATATGTTCGGCACGCGTTCCCCACCTTGAAAGTGTGGTGGTACTACAGGACGGAGTTGGCCCAGCTCCCAGTTTCACCTTGACTGAAGAAGTAATACAGGAGGTAGATAATTTTTTGCTATCTGGGTAGCTATCTCACCTGGTGGACGCATCAAATCAAATGTTTCTCATATCAATGGAATTTATTAGGAGAAAGTTGGACGGACCACAACAGCAACAAGGACCTATTCTAGCATCACATGCGATAACATGAGTCAGTCAGTCAGTCAGTAACTCTCAGTATCGTATTCACCGCAATGTTTGTGTGAAGTCTTCCAGAACTCGGGTGAATTTATTGCAGGCGCATCAGACTGCGTTTTGGATAGTAAAAGCTGTCGTGGGATGTGCTCTACCTTGCGGAAACTTTGTGGCTTACGCAATAGGTCTTATCCCAACATTGAGGAATGAACTTATCAATTCGCTTCTCAATCTGCCTGGAGCTCCCTCACACCTTTTCTAACCCATGGGTTAACTAATCCTGTTTCTTCGGACGAGGTTCTCTGAAAATTGAGGGGACTCAATGACAACAAAGCTGAAGGTCTTGATCTGGTTGAGCCGTATTTGGCAAAAGCATGTGGAAAGCTGCTTGCAGTACCGACGGTTGAGTTGTTCATAACATGTACATGAACCGGAAAGATCCCCGATTATTAGAGGTCAGTCCGGATTAAACAAATCCTAAAGGGGGAATCGTCAAAGTACCGTCCAACCGCCTGTGTTGAAAGAACTTCTGAAAATGTTTAGCTGCATCGCATGGCATCTCTTGCCACTCCAACAGTTTGCCGAAAGAATTACATCCGTTCACCCATTCGGTGCACAGCTGTTTCATTGACATTTCTTGGTTGTGCCAGCGTCTTTGGTTCTCTCGATTGAAGACTCCCTATTGACCGTCTTTCTGAATGTGATCTGACACCTGAAATTATGAATGTTTCAATCAACTCCTCCTCCCTTAGGACCCAATTTACTACATTTCATGCCAAATAATCCCCTTCCATGAATAATGTTTTCAGGGTGCTTGCTGTTCTGTTCCCTTTATTTTCCTTTTCTATTTACATCCAGACTATTCACATCCCTTTAACTTAATTGTTGGCAAGTATGCTGATAATACTGTGATTGGTTGTCATCCCCCCGGTCAAAAAGGTTTTCGCCCTCTTCAGGACAGCTCAAATAAAAGCCACGGTTTCTTCGAGCCCCGATCTCTAGTATTTGACGTGTCAATAGTCCCCACTGAACTTACGGTAAGGAGCATCTCTGAACCTGATTTTGTTCAATACCTCGGTATCACCCTCAATCATAACCTCTATTGGTCTGCTCATGCCAGTAGCGGTTTCGCATTAGTTCAAAGATTAACCTACTATGTATACATGATCACGAAACTGTCCGTTTCACATAATCCTATGTTCATATTTGTGATTGACTGTATCCTCCACACTGGCTATACTGCTCCTCGATAATTATCCCCGGACTAAAAGCAAAAGATGTAATCTTGCTTTCTATATGCATCAAAATTTTGTCTGGATGCAATGGAAGTGACAGTGGCTTCGGTTGTTAGCGCTTACAAAAGCGTCCCGAAGTTAGGGATACGTTTATTGACAGGATAAGACATCATTAAGGACAGTCAGGATCCCGAAATTGTGAGAGCCGTGTCAAACCCCGAACTCGCCCTAGTGTATATTTCTACGTATAGAACCGGTAGAACTCTATACCTTAATCGCAAGACAAACGTCACTAAACTTAGGGGAAAACTCTCACTTTACCGTTTTTAAATATCCCTCGCAAAAGTTCGGAAATTGCTGAAAACTCGCCTTTCGGGTACACCAAGCGCTTCTTATATTGACAGGACTTGGTGGGAGTGATTGTAGCGTTTTGTTGGGCAACTGTGATCTGAGTCATTTGTGCGAACCTGTCGACCACTCGCCAGTGTAATGATGTTGGCTGTGATTCGTTGCACGCATGGTTAGAACTAATAAAAAACAATAGATCTTTGGAGAACGCGTCAATCTAGTCAACAGAACCGAAAGATCTATGATACATCTAAAGTGGCTCTCGCATGAGTTCCGGGGTAACAACCCATCGCAGGATCTGCAGCACCCTATCCCATCCCATACTACACAAAGTGATTGGGTTGGTTTGTACATGAAAAAGGAAGTAATCGACAGCAGAGGTCTCTGAGAAATATTTCTATGTGGTGAACAGATAGATATTTGGAATGCTATGTTTCGCTTAGACACACACTCTCCCATCCAAAAACTCATGGTGAGAATGACTAAAACCATGTCCATGGTAAATAAAGGACTGGAGATCGATAAGACATTCAAACAACAGGGGAACTCACTCCTGGTTCTAACGGCACGTCACCCAACAGAAAACTGCGAATATTTAATAGCCAGCTGACCAGGATGCACCAACCGCGGAGCCATTGACGTGCATTCGCCTTGGCATGAGCGTCCAATAGGAACGGTAACACCACTTGAATGAGAATAATTTCCACAGAGTAATCCAAAGGACTCTCACTAAACGGGGAATGAGATGACCCGGGGCGGGGGGGGGGAGCAGGGGAGGGGGAGATTGTAGGTGGATCACAATTCACAACGGTAAGCACAAGTCAGCAGAAATCCGATCGAGCAAGCTCACTTGGCACAAGATGTCAGACGAAAAATTCTCATGAAGAATAATCAGTAGTGCCAAACCAAAGCATAAAACGAGTGACTACTTTAGCTCTCCCAACTGATGTAATTTACCAATCAGGCAGATAAGATGGAATAAAACTTTATGTTACAGGTATGAAATTATATAGATAAGGGGCCATAGACTTTACAAAGAGATCACTGCTATGAACTAGGAAAATGAGTGATAACCGGGTAAACTGGCAAATTTTGAACCAAAAAGGAAATCATGATTTTTTTCCTGTGAAATAATGCTTATAATACTCGTGTATAAATATGTATATATTTTGAGAAGAAGGCGAGTACTCAGTTACGTATATAATATTTAATAAGTGGTTTATGAATGACTAGACAAAATATCCCCGGAAGCACACGACCGATTTCGCGGTTCTTACCGCTTGTCAGGCATGCGTATCCGGTAATCTCTTGTCAGATCATTCATATAGTTGTACCCAGGAAGTGTATTTTCGTCACAATAACCTTGTTTGTAATATCGGGTGACCATTTGGATAGACAGCACTTTCAGAGCCAGTCCAATGAAGAATCAATACTACGATTCAATGTTTTGAATGTACGTTAGATACAATGAACCGCAACCGACATGACTTGATCATTTTTACAGAATATTTCATGATTGTAATAGTGTGTGAATATATATATATATATATATATATATATATAATCATAGTTTTCGAAGGAATAAGAAATACAAACGGGGGTACTTACTGTGCCACGTTGATCTGGTACGGCAAGAAGCCGGGAACTGTTCGGCGAATCACTTCGAGCGGTAACCAGAGCATGAGCACAATCAAAATGCCCCAAATGGACTGAAATCGGACGAGGACAAACAAGTAATAAAGAAAAATCAAGAAATATAAAAACAACGCTGAGGAAACCTGTGGAATATGCTGCTCCCTGTATGCATCATAGCGGTCACAAGTTACTCCAGTTTAGGTCAAAACACTGTTAACTCTAGACGTCAAACACGGTGTGGCTTTTCCTAGGATGACTTAAACCCTTGTGGCGATGAAATAATGCCTTGTTTTGACCAATGTGAGAGAGGGAGGGAGGGCCATGGTCGAGTATCCGTAGTTAGGGAATGGGTAGTGGTTTGGGTATGTTCACTGACTGTCGCATCATTATCGAATAACGAAGTAAAATTTACTGATCGCTAATATCCTCACAATGAATACAAATCAAGTGTGTGTTAGATGGAAATGGTCTGGGCTTGTTTTCCAGTGAAGGGGAAGGAAAGTGAACCTACACTAATGATGGTCCCGAAAATAAAGTGCGATGCTAGTGAGACGTGTGGAACACTTACCATTGAACAGTGGCATTCCCCAGTGGGAACAAGAGGAAATCAAAGATACCAACTACTATTTCACTGATCACATTGGATGCGCAATTTGTTTTGGAAAAAAAAATCGTGAAAAATCTTTGGGAATTGAGGTAGCAAGAAGTCGAATGTTGAGGACGTAGAAATCGAATTTGGTTAAAAGCATACAGGTACTAGAGGTACTAAACAAAAGATAGGTTATAGCAGTCCGATGTTTCTTAAACAAACCGATAACCGTGCAGAGGTTATCATTTGAATGACGATGGAAGCGAACCACGAGAACCGGAAATGATTATCTCGAACTGTTTCAATTTCTTATGTATCAAAAAATGTATATTGAAACAGCAAATGATCAGCAAGGATCAACTTGTATTCGCGAAAGAAAGAGGAAGTATTAAATGTTAAAAATTCTGACTGTAAAGTACATAGAACGGCGAACTGAGCATTAGACGCAATGGTTGGAACGATCAACTGGATCAGTGAACCACATGTTGTTGACCAGGCCATACATGATAATATGGTCAATGCAATTTCTGATGACCTGATGCACGGGGAGATGTTCAATAACTTTAGTCCCCTTTCAACAGTTAAACAAAGACCAGATCAGTTCGAGCAACAAAGCCAGAATGCAATTAACTCACATATGTGGCAATCAGACGTTGCAGATAAATGTGCAATGGGAGCATGATCATCTGAAAAGGAAGAACATGATGCAATAAAAGGTGAGTACTACGAATAGTGAGCTTAATGCGATCTATATGACCGAGTTTCTTGGCTAGGGTTTTCATACCCCCACACCAGGTCTTGAGGTGGGGCGATGGATATTAAAAAAAATGTTTACGAATACAGTGTCAAAATAACCATCGGTTGGAAGAGAATTACAGAGATGGAACAAGAGGGAGAGGGCAGAAACAGTCAATTTTGGATAGAGAATAACATTCTTGCTTTACTGCACGTCATTTCAACTTTCTTGATCAGTTATTTTAGTTTTGAGATTGAATACAAGGGTACATTTAAGCCACTGACTTCAGTTCAGTGCCATATCCCGCAATGTCTCTAGCCAACCTATAACTGATACAAAATAGTGCATGGTATGGCAGACGATGTTCAGGCATTCGTAGGACGTGTTTCAGCCACTTTAGATGATGCAGTGAGATTATTTTGCTCAACGGAAAACTATCTGATCCTAACACGCGTCTTCTGACCATAAGAGGGTGATGTTGTGCAGACAATGGTTATCGAAGACGGACAGCCGTTGGATATGATCTGCCCGGAAAGGTCAAGTCCCCAATTACCTACCATCTTTATTTTACAATGTATTCCAATCCACCTGTCCCCTGTTATTGTTATTGTTATGATTGTTGTGACGTGGCCTACAAGCCGATGTAACTATATCAGCGTGTTCCGAATCGCCCGTGCGTTGTCACCGGGAAAGGAAGAAGAAGGTTCCAAATGCAATGAGATTCACCCGTTCTATTTGTCACATCAAGATGGGCACCACAGAACACAACCATTGAGAGAAACCGTAAGATTCCTATCCAACATTGGCCCATACTTGATTGCAATAACGAGTAGAGGAGAAATCGCTGCGGTTTGTAAATCGATTTGGATATGAAGGCATCCGTACCATTCTTGTGAAGCATAGAACGACCGGTATCAGTTGTAGCTGACACATAACAGTGACTGCTGTCATGCAACTTGTATGAAAACTGACGTATCCATGTGGGCACACAGTAGACCGTTAACTAAGTACCAATAGACGAGAAATGACCATCGAGGTTATTCGGGGGCACGCCGGTCCAGTTCAGTTTCATGTAACAGTAACAACGACACGTATGATTTACGTGTGCAAACAATGCTTCTTCATATCGCTTACTCAGAAACAGACCAGGGCAAACAGTAACACGGGCAGATGAACCTCGAAACCAGCACCGACTCGATCACAATTAATCTGCATTTAACCGATAGTTGCTCGGTTCCTTTTTTCTTACACTTGTCATCCGTGTCAGAAGAGAACGAAGCGAAATAGCACAATTTTGAGTGCGAGAACATTTGACCAAGACATATAAGTGTGAAAATGACGTTCAATTCAGCCACTAGTCAAATGGTAAAAAAATAATGAGTATGACCCGGTATCCGGAATAAAATGAGTGTATCAAAGACAACAATATAAACGTGCACTCAGATTTTTTGATACTCAGCACACTCGTGCACATGGTACACAACGAAACTATGTGATTGTTATACGCTCATATTTTCTAAGGAATTAGAAGAATCGGTTGGTCCAGTACCCAGTCTAACCGTAACCGGGGAAGTAATAGAGCAAATTTTATTTGGACAGCTACGTCTCACCAGGTGGACGCATCACGGATGAAGTGTCAGCTCGCATACAGAAGACTCCGTTGGCATATGCCAACTTGAGACATCTGTGGCGCCGTCGCGACATCCGGCTGTCTGTGAAGGGTTCAGTGTATGCTGCGGCAGTTCGGCCAGTTCTGTTATACGGAGCAGAAACTTAACCATTAGGAATAATGAGGATAAAGACAGACTGGCGGTGTTTGAACACCGCTGTCTACGCAGCATTGCACGAATCTGGTGGGGTAGCCGGATGAGCAATGCTGAGGTTAGGGACAGAGTTTTGGGTAAATACGGTCGCCCACTGGAGCAAGTGGTCGACCTCCATAGATTACGTTGGTTGGGGCGTGTTACGCATGTCACCAAATAGGTTGCCACGATGAGCCATGTTTGCCGCGACAGGTAGTGAGTGAAAAAAGTCAAGGGTGGTCAAGCGAAG